GATCCCAACCCTAACGCCTGCTGATGTATATTTGGAGTCTGCGTGTCTCTGTCTCATCAACATCACGGTGGCTAGGAGATGTTAACTACCTCGCCTGGTGTACAGGAGGTCGTGGGTTCGATCCCAACCCTGACGCCTGCTGCTGCTGCTGTATAATTGGAGTTTGCGTCTCTCTTTCTGCCGATGATCGCGTGTATTTTTCTCTGGGTCCTCTGTTTCCCCCCCCCCCCCCTCCACATTTAAATCAATATCACCACGCGTTTAGAGTAGTTGGCTGCTATACATTTCCCCATGAGCCACTTCGTTGAGCAATAATTTATGGCCGGGTCTCTTTCGAAAAATAACTCTTTAGCAGCTCAGTGGGCGTTACCTGGTAAAATAAAAAAATAGTTGATCGTTTATTCAGGACTTTCATGATGGTGGGTAAATCTGGGTAAAGCTGCGTGGCCGGGAATGTGAGCCATTACCTCCTCTCATTGGGGTGCGACAGAGATATCCTTCGGCTGTTTAGCGTCCTCTTTTGACCCATTGGAATGTCCATCTGGTGCAGATGCAACGGGAGGACGATCGGTGTCTGGGCATGGCCATGAGGTACCGGCTCCCTGTTGGTGGTAACTCACGTGATGCATGTTGGGGACTTGTGGAGAATGTGGGGTTCCTTAGTGTAAAGGCAGCTCGGTTAAGGCAGCGGAGATCCCATGTCAAATTGTTTGAGTGTAGTTATCTCATTATCGGCTGTTTAACGTATGCATGTAGAACTTCTGTCGCAACGTATGTATCCAACCGTGCTAATCGAAGGTGTGGCAGGACAACATCACTAAACACAAAACGCAGTTCTAAAAGAAATTAGTTTTCCGTCTAGATTTGTAACGTTGTGTGTAAGCTACCGAGGCTGTTGTTCCATTAGAATCTTCGGGTCTTCTCGCCCACAGCCATACCCTCCCTTCGCTTCGCTTGCGAAACGTGGACACCTCTGAATAAACATCTGCGCCTGTTTGAAACGTTCAGGCTGGCCTGCCTACGACCTATCCTGAGTTTAACCGGACTGAACTGTGTGAGCAGCTCACAGATTCCTTGAACGACCTGGACACATTCCCCATCGGTGAGCTTCTTCGGAAGTCGACGCTGCGTTCTTTAGAACTGCTCTTTGTATTTCGTCTGTTGTCCTGGCCCCGCACCTCTGATGAACACGGTTGGCTACGTACGGTGATGCGGAGGACGTCCTACATAATTATGTACGTGTGATGTACCCCGCGTGGCCAGCCACCGCGTAATCACCAGTCTGCAAATCCTCACGGGGAGTCGTTTATCTCTGCGCGCGTGTGTGTGTGTAAATGCACGTACACACGTACACAATCTTTGGACATTTAATGTTCCTAATAGAATGCAGCGCATTAATCATTTCACATTTATCATGGGTTAGCGAAAATCACTCGTTGGAATTTGAGCACGAATTGCAATAAACCAATAGCAGCAATAAGTGTTTTCACGTGATTTATCTGGGAGCCCTTGGGCAACAGGCGTCCTTTGGACTCGGTGACTCAATTGTGTGGCCACAAAGTCTAAAATTATACTCGCTACGTTTTATTTTATTATTGCAATTATTCATGTTACTGCCCGTGAATAAACATGGGAGGCGAGTGGCAGTAATTCAGAGCGGCCCAGAGCACGCCCACTGACACGCAGTCACTGGGCGGAGGTCGCGATTCATCAACCCGGCTCCTGAAACCCCCTCCCCCCAATCACCCCCACCCTCCTTACGGTGACTACTCGCGCAATCGCGCCCTGCGTGTGATAATAATAATAAATTGTTAGTTATCGGATTATGTTTTTAAAAAAATCCCACATTACCCCCTGCTGTGCATGCGTTATTAAAAATAAAAATTATACAGTTTCCCAGAACTCCCAATTCTCTCTCAGCACCCCCCTACTCTCTCTCTCAGTGTCTCTGACTCTATCACAGGATGTCCTACTCTCTCCCACTGTCCCATACTCTTTACTAGAACTCCCAATTCTCTCTCTCTCAGTGTCTCTGACTCTATCACAGAATGTCCTACTCTCTCCCACTGTCCCCTACTCTTTACTAGAACTCCCAATTCTCTCTCAGCACCCTCCTATCTCTCTCTCTCGCAGTGTCTCTGACTCTATCACAGAATGTCCTACTCTCTCCCACTGTCCCCTACTCTTTACTAGAACTCCCAATTCTCTCTCAGCACCCCCTACTCTCTCTCTCAGTGTCTCTGACTCTATCACAGGATGTCCTACTCTCTCCCACTGTCCCCTACTCTTTACTAGAACTCCCAATTCTCTCTCAGCACCCTCCTAACTCTCTCTCTTAGTGTCTCTGACTCTATCACAGGATGTCCTACTCTCTCCCACTGTCCCCTACTCTTTACTAGAACTCCCAATTCTCTCTCAGCACCCTCCTAACTCTCTCTCTCTCTCGCAGTGTCTCTGACTCTATCACAGGATGTCCTACTCTCTGCCACTGTCCCCTACTCTTTACTAGAACTCCCAATTCTCTCTCAGCACCCTCCTAACTCTCTCCCAGTGTCCACGACTTCCTCCCGGGATGCCCTACTCTCTCTCAACACCGTCCCACTCGCTCTCATGTTCTCAACTCTTTCCCAGCGTCCCCTACTCCCTCCCAGGATATCCTACTCTCTATTGGCACCTTACTACTCTCTCCCATTGTTCCCAACTCTCTCCCAGTGCCCCCCTCCCCCCCGCCCTCCCAAGATGTCCTACTCTCTCTCTCAGCGCCCTCATAACCGAAATGGGGACTATTTCTCAGAGCCCCAAAAAATAGTCGACAATTTTAACCCTAATTTTTCTGAAGCTGGCGACCTTTTTGATCATGTATTGGGAGTCACACCTGCTCATGCAATTTCCTACACCCATGCTCAAACATTAAACGAATTTAGTTTGCAGCCTATCCACGAAGGTAATGTTCTGAAACCACTGTCCGACCTCAAAGGTTCCTCCTCTACCGGAGCAGGTAGTTTTCCCGTCTTTGCTCTACTAACTGTTGGTCACTTGATATACAAACCTATAGCCCATGTTTTCAACCTGTCCATGAAAGAAGCATCAGTACCTCTAGAATGGGAACATTCCTATGTCCGTCCACTTCACAAAGGGGGCCCTAAAGACGATCCAAATAACTACCGACCTATCTCAATTTTGTCCCCGTTGATTAAAATTTTTGAAAAATTATTGAATGACCAAATTAGCAGTTTCCTGTCCAACAACAATCTATTACATCAAAACCAATTTGGGTTCCGAAAAAAATACAGCATCACATCTGCAGCATTGGACTCTCTCAATCACATTTACAGTAGTCTGGATAAAGCAGTACTGTGCCTGTCTTTTTCTTGACCTGTCCAAAGCCTTTGATGCAGTCGACCACAACACCCTGCTTAGTAAACTAAGTTGCCTCCATTTCTCCAAACACGCAGTAGAATGGTTAAAAATGTACCTCTCTTCTCGCACCCAAACTGTATTCATGGATGGTTGGAGGTCAAACAGTGTTAAGATAACAAAAGGGGTTCCACAGGGTTCCATCCTCGGCCCCCACTTGTTCTCTCTTTATGTCAATGACTTGGGCACTGACCTGGATCATTCCAGGGTAAATCTGTTTGAAGATGACACGATACTGATTACTGCTGGCCGCTCTCCGGATGATGTGATTGCTAAGCTCCAGGGTGATTTCAACAAACTACAACATCAGCTAGTTGCTCTTAAACTAGTCCTGAATACCTCCAAATCCCAAGTGGCTATGCTTCACACCAGGCTAAAGCAGGAAGTTATTTTTCCCCAATTATATTGCTTAAATAATCATCAAATAGAGCAAGTTAAGATCTATAAGTATCTTGGGGTCATCTTTGATTCAAAACTGAATTTTCAAGATCACATTGATTATATTGGTAAACAGACAAAATTTAAAATTGGTTTTCTGTATCGACACAAGCACTGCTTCCCCCCTATGTTCCGCTTGATAAAAGCTACCATACTGCCTCTACTTGATTACTGTGATATCCTATATAAATCAGCCCCCAGTACTGTACTGAAGAAGCATGACTCAATTTATCACTCGGCCTTAAGATTTGCATTGAACTGCCCATATAGGACCCACCACTGTGATCTCTACATTGGGTCAAACTTAACATCTCTTAATGTTCGACGGCTTGTGCACCGGATTTTATTTATTCACGATGTACTTACAAAAAAATCAGCAGACTACCTGCTGGATCTCCTCACTGTTTCGAAGAACAAATGTGACCTAAGGTCTTCGCTCATTTACCAGCTTCACATTCCTTATTGCCGTACAAAAACTGGAGGAAGGGCCTTTTCTATTGATGCCCCCAGGGTCTGGAATGCTATCGCCAATAAACTGCAACTTGGATCACTACCTTTGAGATCTTCACTGAAAACTGCTCTAGATGATCATCATTAGACCTCCTTTGCCAGTACCAAAATGTAATAATAGGGTTTTTCCCCTTTTATCTGGCAACAAAACTGAAACCTTTTTACAAGGATTCATGTTACTGCATTAACCACAATACCTGCAGTCAAAATGCAAACAAAAAACATACTATGATAATATATGCATTGTCCTTGAAACTGATTGGTCCACACCAAGGGACGGCTTTCTTTTGAGCCTCTGGTCGAGCACCAATTGGTCATGTCCCCTACTTCCTCCCGGGATGTCCTACTCCCTCTCAACACCTCCCTACTCACTCTCAACACCTCCCTACTCACTCTTAACACCTCCCTACTCACTCTCAACACCTCCCTACTCACTCTCAACACCTCCCTACTCACTCTCAACACCTCCCTACTCACTCTCAACACCTTCCTAATCTCTCCCATGTCTTCTACTTTCTACCAGGATTCCCTACCCCCCCGCCCCCCATGTTGTCCTCTCTCTAGCACCCTCCTCCTACTCTCTCTCCTAGTGGTCCCTACTCCCCCCACCCCCAGGGTGCCCTACTTTCTCTCAACACCTTCCTACTCTCTCCCACGTTCTCCTACTCCCTCACAGTGTCCCCCCTCCCTCCCAGGACGTCCTACTCTATACTCTCTCCCAGTGTCCCCTACTCCCTCCCAGAATATCCTACTCTCTCTATCAGCACCTTCATACTCTCTCCCACGTTCCCTACTCTCTCCCAGAATATCCTACTCTCTCTATCAGCACCTTCATACTCTCTCCCACGTTCCCTACTCTCTCCCAGAATATCCTACTCTCTCTATCAGCACCTTCATACTCTCTCCCACGTTCCCTACTCTCTCCCAGTGTTCACCTACTCCCTCCCAGGATGTCCTACTCTCTGTCAGCACCATCCAACTCTCTCCCAGCGTCCCCTAATCTCTACCAGGGTGTCCTACCTACTCTCCCTCAGCAACCTCCGACTCTCTCTATGGATCCCTGACACTCTCTTCCAGGGGGACCCGCTTTCTTCCCCCATCTCACACATAGGCGTTGCGTCCATAGCTCATGACGCTTCCCCGCCGAGCCTCCTCAGAGCTGTCCCCAGGGCCCACAACTCGATCCACTTCCAGCAGGGCAGCGTCTGACACCCGACGCCCGGGGGCACCATTCCAGACCACCCCTGTGGGCCCCACTCCGACCTCCGTGGCCGTTGAGAAGTAGCTCACTTTGCGGAGGTCAGGGGCGATGCCTCCGATGGAGAAGGCGCTGTCCTTGCGCTGTGGCAGAGGGAGAGACACGGGGAGAGGCACGGGGACATTCCATGAATTAAAACATGTTGAACCCAGATAATCCCTTGAGATGGGATACCTCATTTACAGGGGGGTTCAGATGGGAACATGGCATAGACAAGATGTTTGGGTCTAGAGCTAGTGCTGGGTCTAGAGCTAGTGCTGGGTCTAGAGATAGCGCTGGGTCTAGAGATAGCGCTGGGTCTAGAGCTAGTGCTGGACTAGAGCTAGTGATGGGTCTAGAGGTAGTGATGGGTCTGGAGATAGTGATGGGTTTAGAGCTAGTGATAGGTCTAGAGCTAGTGATGGGTCTAGAGCTAGTGATGGGTCTAGAGCTAGTACTGGGTCTAGAGCTAGTGCTGGGTCTAGAGATAGTGCTGGGTCTAGAGCTAGTGCTGGGTCTAGAACTTGTACTGGGTCTACAGCTAGTGCTGTGTCTAGAGCTAGTGATGGGTCTAGAGCTAGTGCTGTGTCTACAGCTAGTGCTGGGTCTATAGCTAGTGCTGGGTCTAGAGCTAGTGCTGGTTCTAATGCTAGTACTGTGTCTAGAGCTAGTGCTGGGTCTAGGGCTAGTGCAGGGTCTAGAGCTAGTGCTGAGTCTAGAGCTAGTGCTGTGTCTAGAGATAGTGCTGGGTCTAGAGCTAGTGCTGGGTCTAGAGCTAGTGCTGGGACTAGAACTTGTACTGGGTCTAGAGCTAGTGCTGGGTCTAGAGCTAGTGATGGGTCTAGAGCTAGTGATGGATCTAGAGATAGCGCTGGGTCTAGAGATAGCGCTGGGTCTAGAGATAGCGCTGGGTCTAGAGCTAGTGATGGGTCTAGAGATAGCGCTGGGTCTAGAGCTAGTGCTGGGTCTAGGGTTAGTGCTGGGTCTAGAGCTAGTGCTGGGACTAGAGCTAGTGCTGGGTCTAGAGCTAGTGATGGGTCTAGAGCTAGCGCTGGGTCTAGAGATAGCGCTGGATCTAGAGCTAGTGCTGGGTCTAGAGCTAGTGCTGGGTCTAGAGCTAGTGCTGGGTCTAGAGCTAGTGCTGTGTCTAGAGATAGTGCTGGGTCTAGAGATAGTGCTGGGTCTAGAGATAGCGCTGGGACTAGAGCTAGTGCTGAGTCTAGAGCTAGTGCTGGGACTAGAGCTAGTGCTGGGTCTAGAGCTAGTGCTGGGTCTAGAGCTAGTACTGTGTCTAGAGCTAGTGCTGGGACTAGAGCTAGTGCTGGGACTAGAGCTAGTGCTGGGTCTAGAGCTAGTACTGTGTCTAGGGCTAGTGCTGGGTCTAGAGCTAGTGCTGGGTCTAGGGCTAGTGCTGGGGTCTAGAGCTAGTGCTGGGTCTAGAGCTAGTGCTGGGTCTAGAGCTAGTGCTGGGTCTAGTGCTGGGTCTAGAGCTAGTGCTGGTTCTAATGCTAGTACTGTGTCTAGAGCTAGTGCTGGGTCTAGGGCTAGTGCTGGGTCTAGAGCTACTGCTGGGTCTAGAGCTAGTGCTGGGTCTAGAGCTAGCGCTGTGTCTAGAGCTAGTGCTGGGTCTATAGCTAGTGCTGGGTCTAGAGCTAGTGCTGGTTCTAATGCTAGTACTGTGTCTAGAGCTAGTGCTGGGTCTAGGGCTAGTGCTGGGTCTAGAGCTACTGCTGGGTCTAGAGCTAGTGCTGGGACTAGAGCTAGTGCTGGGTCTAGAGCTAGTGCTGGGTCTAGAGCTATTGCTGGGTCTAGAGCTACTGCTGGGTCTAGAGCTAGTGCTGGTCTAGAGCTAGTGCTGTGTCTAGAGCTAGTGCTGGGTCTAGGGCTAGTGCTGGGTCTAGAGCTACTGCTGGGTCTAGAGCTAGTGCTGGGTCTAGAGCTAGTGCTGGGACTAGAGCTAGTGCTGGACTAGAGCTAGTGCTGGACTAGAGCTAGTGCTGGGTTTAGAGCTAGTGCTGGGTCTAGAGCTAGTGCTGGGTCTAGAGCTAGTGCTGGTTCTAATGCTAGTACTGTGTCTAGAGCTAGTGTTGGGTCTAAAGCTACTGCTGGGTCTAGAGCTAGTGCTGGGTCTAGAGCTAGCGCTGGGTATAAAGCTAGTGATGGGTCTAGAGCTAGCGCTGGGTCTAGAGATAGCGCTGTGTCTAGAGATAGCGCTGGGTCTAGAGCTAGTGATGGGTCTAGAGCTAGTGCTGGTTCTAATGCTAGTACTGTGTCTAGAGCTAGTGCTGGGTCTAGGGCTACTGCTGGGTCTAGAGCTACTGCTGGGTCTAGAGCTAGTGCTGGTACTAGAGCTAGTGCTGGGTCTAGAGCTAGTGCTGGGTCTAGAGCTAGTGCTGGGTCTAGAGCTATTGCTGGGTCTAGAGCTACTGCTGGGTCTAGAGCTAGTGCTGGTCTAGAGCTAGTGCTGTGTCTAGAGCTAGTGCTGGGTCTAGGGCTAGTGCTGGGTCTAGAGCTACTGCTGGGTCTAGAGCTAGTGCTGGGTCTAGAGCTAGTGCTGGGACTAGAACTAGTGCTGGACTAGAGCTAGTGCTGGGTTTAGAGCTAGTGCTGGGTCTAGAGCTAGTGCTGGTTGTAATGCTAGTACTGTGTCTAGAGCTAGTGTTGGGTCTAAAGCTACTGCTGGGTCTAGAGCTAGTGCTGGGTCTAGAGCTAGTGCTGGGTATAAAGCTAGTGATGGGTCTAGAGCTAGCGCTGGGTCTAGAGATAGCGCTGGGTCTAGAGCTAGTGCTGGGTCTAGAGCTAGTGCTGGGTCTAGAGCTAGTGCTGGGTCTAGAGCTATTGCTGGGTCTAGAGCTACTGCTGGGTCCAGAGCTAGTGCTGGTCTAGAGCTAGTGCTGTGTCTAGAGCTAGTGCTGGGTCTAGGGCTAGTGCTGGGTCTAGAGCTACTGCTGGGTCTAGAGCTAGTGTTGGGTCTAGAGCTAGTGCTGGGACTAGAGCTAGTGCTGGACTAGAGCTAGTGCTGGACTAGAGCTAGTGCTGGGTTTAGAGCTAGTGCTGGGTCTAGAGCTAGTGCTGGTTCTAATGCTAGTACTGTGTCTAGAGCTAGTGTTGGGTCTAAAGCTACTGCTGAGTCTAGAGCTAGTGCTGGGTCTAGAGCTAGTGCTGGTTCTAATGCTAGTACTGTGTCTAGAGCTAGTGTTTGGGTCTAAAGCTACTGCTGAGTCTAGAGTTAGTGCTGGGTCTAGAGCTAGCGCTGGGTATAAAGCTAGTGATGGGTCTAGAGCTAGCGCTGGGTCTAGAGATAGCGCTGGGTCTAGAGATAGCGCTGCGTCTAGAGCTAGTGCTGGGTCTAGAGCTAGTGCTGGGTCTAGAGCTAGTGCTGGGTCTAGAGCTAGTGTTGGGACTAGAGCTAGTGCTGCGTCTAGAGCTAGTGCTGGGTCTAGAGCTAGTGCTGGGACTAGAGCTAGTGCTGGGTCTAGAGCTAGTGCTGGGTCTAGAGCTAGTGCTGGGTCTAGAGCTAGTGCTGGGTTTAAAGCTAGTGCTGGTCTAGAGCTAGTGTTGGCTCTAGAGCTAGTGCTGGGTCTAGAGCTAGTGCTGGTCTAGAGCTAGTGCTGGGTCTAGAGCTAGTGCTGGGTCTAGATCTAGTGCTGGGTCTAGAGCTAGTACTGGGTCTAGAGCTGGTGCTGGGTCTAGAGCTAGTGCTGGGTCTAGAGCTAGTGCTGGGTCTAGAACTAGTGCTGGGTCTAGAGCTAGTGCTGTGTCTAGAGCTAGTGCTGGGTCTAGAGCTGGTGCTGGGTCTAGAGCTAGTGTTGGGTCTAAAGCTACTGCTGGGTCTAGAGCTAGTGCTGGGTCTAGAGCTAGTGTTGAGTCTAGAGCTAGTGCTGGGTCTAGAGCTAGTGCTGGGTATAGAACTTGTACTGGGTCTAGAGCTAGTGCTGGGTATAGAACTTGTACTGGGTCTAGAGCTAGTGCTGGGTCTAAAGCTACTGCTGGGTCTAGAGCTAGTGCTGGGTCTAGAGCTAGTGTTGAGTCTAGAGCTAGTGCTGGGTCTAGAGCTAGTGCTGGGTATAGAACTTGTACTGGGTCTAGAGCTAGTGCTGGGTATAGAACTTGTACTGGGTCTAGAGCTAGTGCTCGGTCTAAAGCTACTGCTGGGTCTAGAGCTAGTGCTGGGTCTAGAGCTAGTGCTGGGTCTAGAGCTAGTGCTGGGTCTAGAGCTAGTGCTGGGTCTAGAGCTAGTGCTGGGTCTAGAGCTACTGCTGGGTCTAGAGCTAGTGCTGGTCTAGAGCTAGTGCTGTGTCTAGAGCTAGTGCTGGGTCTAGGGCTAGTGCTGGGTCTAGAGCTACTGCTGGGTCTAGAGCTAGTGTTGGGTCTAGAGCTAGTGCTGGGACTAGAGCTAGTGCTGGACTAGAGCTAGTGCTGGACTAGAGCTAGTGCTGGGTTTAGAGCTAGTGCTGGGTCTAGAGCTAGTGCTGGTTCTAATGCTAGTACTGTGTCTAGAGCTAGTGTTGGGTCTAAAGCTACTGCTGAGTCTAGAGCTAGTGCTGGGTCTAGAGCTAGTGCTGGTTCTAATGCTAGTACTGTGTCTAGAGCTAGTGTTGGGTCTAAAGCTACTGCTGAGTCTAGAGCTAGTGCTGGGTCTAGAGCTAGCGCTGGGTATAAAGCTAGTGATGGGTCTAGAGCTAGCGCTGGGTCTAGAGATAGCGCTGGGTCTAGAGATAGCGCTGCGTCTAGAGCTAGTGCTGGGTCTAGAGCTAGTGCTGGGTCTAGAGCTAGTGCTGGGTCTAGAGCTAGTGTTGCGACTAGAGCTAGTGCTGCGTCTAGAGCTAGTGCTGGGTCTAGAGCTAGTGCTGGGACTAGAGCTAGTGCTGGGTCTAGAGCTAGTGCTGGGTCTAGAGCTAGTGCTGGGTCTAGAGCTAGTGCTGGGTCTAAAGCTAGTGCTGGGTCTAGAGCTAGTGCTGGTCTAGAGCTAGTGTTGGCTCTAGAGCTAGTGCTGGGTCTAGAGCTAGTGCTGGGTCTAGAGCTAGTGCTGGGTCTAGATCTAGTGCTGGGTCTAGAGCTAGTACTGGGTCTAGAGCTGGTGCTGGGTCTAGAGCTAGTGCTGGGTCTAGAGCTAGTGCTGGGTCTAGAACTAGTGCTGGGTCTAGAGCTAGTGCTGTGTCTAGAGCTAGTGCTGGGTCTAGAGCTGGTGCTGGGTCTAGAGCTAGTGTTGGGTCTAAAGCTACTGCTGGGTCTAGAGCTAGTGCTGGGTCTAGAGCTAGTGTTGAGTCTAGAGCTAGTGCTGGGTCTAGAGCTAGTGCTGGGTATAGAACTTGTACTGGGTCTAGAGCTAGTGCTGGGTATAGAACTTGTACTGGGTCTAGAGCTAGTGCTGGGTCTAAAGCTACTGCTGGGTCTAGAGCTAGTGCTGGGTCTAGAGCTAGTGTTGAGTCTAGAGCTAGTGCTGGGTCTAGAGCTAGTGCTGGGTATAGAACTTGTACTGGGTCTAGAGCTAGTGCTGGGTATAGAACTTGTACTGGGTCTAGAGCTAGTGCTGGGTCTAAAGCTACTGCTGGGTCTAGAGCTAGTGCTGGGTCTAGAGCTAGTGTTGAGTCTAGAGCTAGTGCTGGGTCTAGAGCTAGTGCTGGGTCTAGAGCTAGTGCTGGGTCTAGAGCTAGTGCTGGTGGTGATGATGACGATGGCTACGGCTGGGCACCTGCTGCTGCTGGTGCTGCTGTGTGTTGTGAGTGAGGGCCGAGTAGACGGAGGCTTTGTCGGCGTTCATGAACTCGGTGGGCGCGGTGCTGTAGCGGGGCTGCTGCTGCAGGGCCATGCTGCGCGCGACACGCACACACACAACAAAGACAAAGATCCCCCGTGTAGCCTTTAACAGACTATTGGGGCAAGTGCTGTTAGCGAGTAGCACCTTTGAAGGCCGGCACGGTATACGAGGGGGTGAGTGACCAGCACCATGCCCGGCCGCCTTTGTTTCTTCAGTGGCGATGTTAACACTCCGCACCAGGTATTCATTTGAGGCTGAGTAGACCTAAGGGAGGCCAAGGAGCGCTTCAGTCAATCATCACTGGTGTTGGTCGCTGTGCGTGGGAAACGGACTCGGGTCGCCGCGTTAGCCCCTGCAGCTCCCAGCAGCAGCAGCAGCGCTGCCTGGAAGGCGTAGGGCATCTCGTCCTCCATCCGCTCCCTCTGGAGGAATCTTGTGCGAGCCTCCCACTCCAGATCAGGAGTCAACTCCCACACTCACCGTGGCGTCTCCCCCGCGCGCTCCCGCCTCCAAATGGCGCCCCTCGGCACGGGAGGTCCACCAATGGCACCCATCTTGTGCGTGTTCCTCCATTCGGAGCCCCCTGGCCCCGCTCCGGCAGCAGCTCCCGCTGCGTTTTCCCGGCTCCCCTCTGCACGGTCCCCTGGGGGTCGGCGCCTCGTGTCGGCCAGCACCGCCATGCTGCTTAGTCGGCGCTTGACCACGGGGAATCTCGGCCGCTCTCCTCCTCGACGTGCAGCCCCCCTCTCTGTCGACGTGCAGCCCCCCTCTCTGTCGACGTGCAGCCCCCCTCTCTGTCGACGTGCAGCCCCCCTCTCTGTCGACGCTGTTCCGCTCCCGCCACCTGGCGTAGCACTCTAGCCATCGACGCTCTGCCGCTCACTTTTTCCTCGACGTGTTGCTTCTCTCCTCCGTCGACACCCAGCCACTCTCTCTCTATCAACACGTAGTCACTCCCCTAGTCATCACCCAGCCACTCTCTCTCTATCAACACGTAGTCACTCCCCTAGTAGACACCCAGCCACTCTCTCTATCAACACGTAGTCACTCCCTTAGTAGACACCCAGCCACTCTCTCTATCAACGTGTAGTCACCCCTGTAGTAGACACCCAGCCACTCTCTCTCTATCAACACGTAGTCACTCCCCTAGTCATCACCCAGCCACTCTCTCTCTATCAACGTGTAGTCACTCCCCTAGTCATCACCCAGCCACTCTATCAACACGTAGTCACTCCTGTAGTAGACACCCAGCCACTCTCTCTCTATCAACACGTAGTCACTCCCCTAGTCATCACCCAGCCACTCTCTCTATCAACGCGTAGTCACTCCCGTAGTAGACACCCAGCCACTTTCTCTCTATCAACGCGTAGTCACTCCTGTAGTAGACACCCAGCCACTCTCTCTCTATCAGCACGTAGTCACTCCCCTAGTCATCACCCAGCCACTCTCTCTCTATCAACACGTAGTCACTCCCATAGTCATCACCCAGCCACTCTCTCTCTATCAACACGTAGTCACTCCTGTAGTAGACACCCAGCCACTCTCTCTATCAACTCGTAGTCACTCCCCTAGTCATCACCCAGCCACTCTCTCTCTATCAACACGTAGTCACTCCTCTAGTAGACACCCAGCCACTCTCTCTCTATCAGCACGTAGTCACTCCCCTAGTCATCACCCAGCCACTCTCTCTCTATCAACACGTAGTCACTCCCCTAGTCATCACCCAGCCACTCTCTCTCTATCAACACGTAGTCACTCCTGTAGTCTACACCCAGCCACTCTCTCTATCAACACGTAGTCACTCCTGTAGTAGACACCCAGCCACTTTCTCTCTATCAACGCGTAGTCACTCCTGTAGTGGACACCCAGCCACTCTCTCTCTATCAGCACGTAGTCACTCCCCTAGTCATCACCCAGCCACTCTCTCTCTATCAACACGTAGTCACTCCCCTAGTCATCACCCAGCCACTCTCTCTCTATCAACACGTAGTCACTCCTGTAGTAGACACCCAGCCACTCTCTCTATCAACTCGTAGTCACTCCCCTAGTCATCACCCAGCCACTCTCTCTCTATCAACACGTAGTCACTCCTGTAGTAGACACCCAGCCACTCTCTCTCTATCAGCACGTAGTCACTCCCCTAGTCATCACCCAGCCACTCTCTCTCTATCAACACGTAGTCACTCCCCTAGTCATCACCCAGCCACTCTATCAACACGTAGTCACTCCCCTAGTCATCACCCAGCCACTCTCTCTCTATCAACACGTAGTCACTCCCCTAGTAGACACCCAGCCACTCTCTCTATCAACACGTAGTCACTCCCTTAGTAGACACCCAGCCACTCTCTCTATCAACGTGTAGTCACCCCTGTAGTAGACACCCAGCCACTCTCTCTCTATCAACACGTAGTCACTCCCCTAGTCATCACCCAGCCACTCTCTCTCTATCAACGTGTAGTCACTCCCCTAGTCATCACCCAGCCACTCTATCAACACGTAGTCACTCCTGTAGTAGACACCCAGCCACTCTCTCTCTATCAACACGTAGTCACTCCCCTAGTCATCACCCAGCCACTCTCTCTATCAACGCGTAGTCACTCCCGTAGTAGACACCCAGCCACTTTCTCTCTATCAACGCGTAGTCACTCCTGTAGTAGACACCCAGCCACTCTCTCTCTATCAGCACGTAGTCACTCCCCTAGTCATCACCCAGCCACTCTCTCTCTATCAACACGTAGTCACTCCCATAGTCATCACCCAGCCACTCTCTCTCTATCAACACGTAGTCACTCCTGTAGTAGACACCCAGCCACTCTCTCTATCAACACGTAGTCACTCCCCTAGTCATCACCCAGCCACTCTCTCTCTATCAACACGTAGTCACTCCTGTAGTAGACACCCAGCCACTCTCTCTCTATCAGCACGTAGTCACTCCCCTAGTCATCACCCAGCCACTCTCTCTCTATCAACACGTAGTCACTCCCCTAGTCATCACCCAGCCACTCTCTCTCTATCAACACGTAGTCACTCCTGTAGTCTACACCCAGCCACTCTCTCTATCAACACGTAGTCACTCCTGTAGTAGACACCCAGCCACTTTCTCTCTATCAACGCGTAGTCACTCCTGTAGTGGACACCCAGCCACTCTCTCTCTATCAGCACGTAGTCACTCCCCTAGTCATCACCCAGCCACTCTCTCTCTATCAACACGTAGTCACTCCCCTAGTCATCACCCAGCCACTCTCTCTCTATCAACACGTAGTCACTCCTGTAGTAGACACCCAGCCACTCTCTCTATCAACTCGTAGTCACTCCCCTAGTCATCACCCAGCCACTCTCTCTCTATCAACACGTAGTCACTCCTGTAGTAGACACCCAGCTACTCTCTCTCTATCAGCACGTAGTCACTCCCCTAGTCATCACCCAGCCACTCTCTCTCTATCAACACGTAGTCACTCCCCTAGTCATCACCCAGCCACTCTCTCTCTATCAACGCGTAGTCACTCCTGTAGTAGACACCCAGCCACTCTCTCTCTATCAGCACGTAGTCACTCCCCTAGTCATCACCCAGCCACTCTCTCTCTATCAACACGTAGTCACTCCCCTAGTCATCACCCAGCCACTCTCTCTCTATCAACACGTAGTCACTCCTGTAGTCTACACCCAGCCACTCTCTCTATCAACACGTAGTCACTCCTGTAGTAGACACCCAGCCACTTTCTCTCTATCAACGCGTAGTCACTCCTGTAGTGGACACCCAGCCACTCTCTCTCTATCAGCACGTAGTAACTCCCCTAGTCATCACCCAGCCACTCTCTCTCTATCAACACGTAGTCACTCCCCTAGTCATCACCCAGCCACTCTCTCTCTATCAACACGTAGTCACTCCTGTAGTAGACACCCAGCCACTCTCTCTATCAACTCGTAGTCACTCCCCTAGTCATCACCCAGCCACTCTCTCTCTATCAACACGTAGTCACTCCTGTAGTAGACACCCAGCCACTCTCTCTCTATCAGCACGTAGTCACTCCCCTAGTCATCACCCAGCCACTCTCTCTCTATCAACACGTAGTCACTCCCCTAGTCATCACCCAGCCACTCTATCAACACGTAGTCACTCCCCTAGTCATCACCCAGCCACTCTCTCTCTATCAACACGTAGTCACTCCCCTAGTAGACACCCAGCCACTCTCTCTATCAACACGTAGTCACTCCCTTAGTAGACACCCAGCCACTCTCTCTATCAACGTGTAGTCACCCCTGTAGTAGACACCCAGCCACTCTCTCTCTATCAACACGTAGTCACTCCCCTAGTCATCACCCAGCCACTCTCTCTCTATCAACGTGTAGTCACTCCCCTAGTCATCACCCAGCCACTCTATCAACACGTAGTCACTCCTGTAGTAGACACCCAGCCACTCTCTCTCTATCAACACGTAGTCACTCCCCTAGTCATCACCCAGCCACTCTCTCTATCAACGCGTAGTCACTCCCGTAGTAGACACCCAGCCACTTTCTCTCTATCAACGCGTAGTCACTCCTGTAGTAGACACCCAGCCACTCTCTCTCTATCAGCACGTAGTCACTCCCCTAGTCATCACCCAGCCACTCTCTCTCTATCAACACGTAGTCACTCCCATAGTCATCACCCAGCCACTCTCTCTCTATCAACACGTAGTCACTCCTGTAGTAGACACCCAGCCACTCTCTCTATCAACTCGTAGTCACTCCCCTAGTCATCACCCAGCCACTCTCTCTCTATCAACACGTAGTCACTCCTGTAGTAGACACCCAGCCACTCTCTCTCTATCAGCACGTAGTCACTCCCCTAGTCATCACCCAGCCACTCTCTCTCTATCAACACGTAGTCACTCCCCTAGTCATCACCCAGCCACTCTCTCTCTATCAACACGTAGTCACTCCTGTAGTCTACACCCAGCCACTCTCTCTATCAACACGTAGTCACTCCTGTAGTAGACACCCAGCCACTTTCTCTCTATCAACGCGTAGTCACTCCTGTAGTGGACACCCAGCCACTCTCTCTCTATCAGC